ACTTCCTCAAGGTAGTCTATTGTTCTTTCTTCTGGACTCTTCAGGCCAGGTCCTACAATATGAGCAGAATAACTTTAAACTACCCAATTTTGAAGAAATTCAACATTTTATTATCATATGTGAGTTGCAATATCTTACCTAGAGGGTCAACAAGTTGGTCGACAAGCCCCATCTTCTTGGCTTTATCTGCTCGGATATTTCTTCCTGTGAGCATCATGTCAAAGGCACTGGGTAGACCAACCTAAAGGTAAAAAAAGAAAACATATGTGAACTGATATATGATCAAATTGAAAGTGTGTTTGTGTACAGAGCATAAAAAGAGAAAACAAATCTTTCATATTATGAGCAGTAGTTAACAAATTGTAGTTAGTTCTGCACTTTGAATGATAATGTTTAGGATTATGAATTAAAATTAGACATGAAGGGCTGGGGGAAGTAATCGGTTCGCAGGGTCTTAAAGGTGCCCGTAAACATCTTAAACCAATTATGAGCATTAACCAGATTATTTTGCATGACAGCCTAGCCATTTTAAGTATTTATCTGATGTAAGATACAATGTTATGTTCACATACTACGATCTCCATCATCCGGCGTTATGTGTATGTTTTTTGTGTTTAAAGTCCAGTAGGACAAACAGTGACATCAATGGAAATTTAGAGAATATAATTCAGTGTACCAACCATTTTGGGGAGTCTCTGAGTACCCCCAGCTCCAGGTAGAAGACCCAGCATTACTTCAGGAGTACCAAGAACTGTTTTCTTGCTCTTTGTTGCAATTCTGTACTGGCAGGCAATGGCAAACTAAAATGCAAAAAGAGCCCATTAGATAACGCATCCTAGTCAAATACAGTCAAACATAGTTGCTGTAATAATCTCTGTTTACCTCTAAGCCTCCTCCCAAGCAAGGCCCATTGATAGCAGCAACAATGGGCTTGGGAGATTTTTCAATCTTTTCGAACATCTTTTGCCCTTCCTGAGAAAGTTTGGTGACCTCTTCTGCGTTGTTGCAGGCCTGGATCATACTGTAACAGATGTACAGTTTATTAAAAGAACTCCAGGTCATTTGACAATTCATTCAACTATTATAAAAGACAGTAAAGCTGGGGACGCATAATGCTCATTTGTGTTACATTCCAGCAACTTACAGCAAAACATTTAATTCAACACCACACATAAGACATAATAAACTTATAATTATACTTTGTAATAATACAGAAGAAGTTCCACACACATATTTGATCAAGTGTGGGATTTTAAAGATTTCTCTTACTTAATATCAGCTCCTGCAATGAAGCATCCCGGCTTCGAGGAGATGAGAACAGCACTTTGAACAGCGTTGTTTGCCCACACTTCATTCATGACTTCTGCCATCTCTGTTTGCATCTGGACTGACAGCGTGTTAACCTGGGGGACGAAATGACCATTAGCTTCACGTCACATCTGCATAATTCATAGTCGAAAACTGTCAGATCAATGTCGGCGAGCTCACACCTTGGAGGTTGGGTCGTTGATCCGCACAACGGCAACATCGCCCTTGACTTCGTAGTTCACATGGGTTCGGGCTAAAAATAGAGAAGGAAAGATGAACAGTGAGAGAATAATTGTGTCACTGGACAGGCTGACCTATTTTCGACCCACACACGAAAAAAATGTTGATTTTGATATTACCTAGCATTGCAGGAGCTACTGAGAAAGTGCGGAAAGTACTGCCTGTAAGAGGAAAAAAAGCCAGTAAGCATTGTATTATTACAACATATTATATATAGGCATCAAACATGCTGCACAGTATCTAAATGTTTCACCATTACAGTCCACATTAACTCATACTGAGCACTAAAAACTGTAAATAAAGCTCATATAACACACATGAAGTGTATATGAGTCGTTCACATAGTATTGCTTTGACCTCAAACAGTGCCAGAGGAGAATGACCCTTCACCTAGATTCTCCACCTACCGTTCAGACAGGGGGCGACAGCAGCCATCACAAAGGCGAATCAATGGCACAAGTCTGTCAAAATCCTCGTCTAAACTGCTTTAACAGGAGCATTTTACAGTCTAAAGTCAAAGCTAACAGTCTCATTTAATAACTTTAATTGTGAACCAGAGCCCCAACGATGACTTCGCTTCCCCTAATTCCGTAGCAGCCCGGCTAGTTAGCGCAGCAAGTTCACACTTAAAGGTTTGTTCGCTTAAACAGTTCACAAGTCCCACCGTCGACAAATAATATGGTTAAATCTTTAGTGAGATATATATTCTGAGAGAAGTTAAAACGATTTCAAACACTACGTTATGGTTAAGGGCTACATTCTTCGGAGCTAACAGCTAACACACTGTCCTTAGGAAAGCCGGTGTTTTCTGTATCATTCACCGCGCTGGTTTCACCTGTTTCCTAAAATATTAACGGCATGTTAGTCTCTACCTGTGAAGAGTGCATATCTCCTTGATGTACATTTGGAGAGAACACCAAGGGCTCGAACACCAGCCATCTTGGGAGCGGAGGTCAGTCAGAGCAACGCTGTGAAGTGAAGCAAGCTAACTCGCTGTCAAAGTACTATCATTGGTGGTTGAGCATAAAGCAAAAGATTGGCGACTTCCTGAAACCCCGATCAATCGGACGCGAAGCTGATTGGCTCTCGTCGAAGATGCCCGCACGCCATTGGCTGACTGTGAGGAACTCGCCGCTGAAGGACTACAAACCTTCTCTTGTCGCTGATTGGACGTTCAAGGACTACAAACCTCCTCTTGTCGCTGATTGGACGTTCAAGGACTACAAACCTCTTTTCAGTCAGACATCTGAAGGCTGGAAACTGGAGCTTTTGTTTTACGTTCACGTTGCTGATTTTTAAAAAAATATATATTTTCCGGACAAATAGGAGATAATATATTCATTACAAATGTACAGAAAACCTGCAATGTAAAATATATAATCACTAAATAAAAGCAATAGCAACATGCTGCCACAAGGCGGGAGCAGAAATCAATTTACTTCAAAATAGGCTGTTTACGTTTGGTGAGTTTGAAAAGGTGAAACAATGCTTTTCATCCTTTTTTCTAACTGATTCTTACATTAAGGCATGTTGCTGTTAGGACATGTGAAATTATTGTAATTACAATTAATGATATAGTAATTATTAATTGTATAAGATAAGATATTCCTTTAATAGTCCCACAATGGGGAAATTCCAATATTACAGCAGCAAAGTGGATAGAGAAAAAAAAAACAGTATTCTGTTAATAGTTCCACAATGTGAAAATTCAATAACAGCAGGCAAAGTGGATAGAGATAAAAAAAAACAGAATAAAAGACAGGTATATAAACAGTAAGAGTAATGAAAAAATTATATTATAATATAAACCTGTACAAGAGAAAAAAACAGTAAAAAACCACAATGGAGCAATACATTATTTTATTCCATATATTTATTCAAATGTATATTTTTAATTATTGTGTTTCTCTGGGTGCTGTTGTAGTGATTGTTTGCTTGTGGTTATATTCTTGAACATTTAAACAAATAATTGCACAACAAAAATTGGTTGTATATTGTTGTTTGGTTTTTTTATATAAAAAGTTTTAGTTACCTTCTCTAAACTAAATATTAACTCTGCAACTACCACCGTTTGTGATTCTGGGCAATTTTCTTTACAAGTATTGATCACAGCACAAAGGTGACACCCGGTGTACAAATAGGTGAACTACATTAACATCGACTTCTCTTTGGGTCAAAATGGCTCCTACTCATACACAAGTTGCACTGTGGCTGATTTAATGCTAAGTGTTAATGAAGTTTACTCCAGGCTTTAGGATGGACATGGATGGGATAATTATAGATTGACGATAAAGCTCCAGTCCTCTTATCCATTTAGCCATTCATCACCAGAATCACTTTGCATTATTTTGCATTTTCTCTATAGCAGGTCAAACATTATGACTCCCTGCAAAATGTGCAGCGATCAGTGTCGCCTTGAGTGAAAAAATAAACTGAAAATGAAGAAGAAAATAACAAAATCCACTCACACCTTTATCTCTGGTTCCTTAGATATGTTTACCTCAACTAACAGGAACTGATCTTTTTCGAGATAAGCTGTCTGTCTTGCCCAATACCTAAACCACTACTTTCACAAAACTACGTCACAAAATGTTCTCAATTGCTGTTGGAAAATGTAATGACATTTTACAAAAGCCATTACATTTTATTATAGACGTGCATGCTCTCAGGTTAATGGTCTGTCCCCTTAACTGAATAGTGCTGTCATGGTTGTGGAGGAAGTACTGAGATCATTAACTTAAGTAAAAGTAACAAGTTTGGTATTAGTGTTATGTTATTGTATTATTATTACTAAATTACTGAAACTAACACATGCATCATATTTTATAAGATGATTATATGTTATGTTTATAAAATGTTGTTCTTCAAACTATAAACAACTATGTTTTTCAAATTAATGTGTAATAAAATAACTGCAGTATGTATATGTTTTATTTATGAGTAATCCAATCCAATCCAATCCACATTTATTTGTTAAGCACTTTAAAACAACCAAGTTGATCTACAGGAGAATAAATAACTACATCAAAGTAACAAGAGCATAACAGCCCACATTGATGTGCAAAATTACAAATAAAATACAACAATAAAATGAAAAGACAGTAGAATAATAAAGTCACGTAAAATAGAAATACACAAGTAAAGTCTCTCAAAGTTGTAGCCTACATGAGCAAAGCACTACTTATTTTCTGAAATAAATAAAAAAATTCTGTTACATGTACTATTTCTGATCTGAACTTGAAATAATCTTTTTACTCGCAGTCGATTGCACTTTAATGTTTACACTTCTGACCTTTGACATTCGTGTATACGAGGCGCATTTGAAGGCAGCATCTGTCTTTTCGAGGGGGCGGGACCGTGCGGCGCTAACACGAAAAGAGCCAATCAGAGGTCAGATACCCACATAGCAACACCAATCAGCGACGAGGGACTGTCTGGTTGCGAAGGTAGTGGTAGTGTTGGTGTGCTGGCTGGAGGAAGCAAGTGTTTCCTTTGGGCTCGCTCTTACTGCTACGTTTAGGTCTGCCCATACAGTAACGTTATATCTGTTAAGTTTGGCGCCTGACTATCATGTGTTTAATTCTCCTGCTCATTTATCCAGTTTCTGCACGTTAATACGGCAGAACGACGTCTGAGAAAGAAAGAAAAAAAAAAAAAAAGCATCTTTGAACATAATTGGAACACGAAATTTACGATGCCATCCCCGATGGAGGGATCTTCCAGAGAAGGTGACCTCTTTACTGTGAAACACGAGCTTAAAAATGGTAAGTGAAGCTGCGAACTGGTTGAACTTTGTTTCTGAACGCAGTCTTGTTTTATCCGCTGTGTGTCTTTAGAGGAGACACGTGTCCCGAAAGAAATGTTAGCTTGGCTAGCTTGGGAAGAAGCTGTCAGTGTCAGTGGGCATTTGTAGTGAGCGCTAAAAATGGCAGAGGAAGGCTCACTAACGTTGCGCTGACTGCCCTTATTACCTGTAACGTGAAGGCTTATACGCAAACTAACGTTGCCTAACCCAAAACCAGCTCACTAACGTTGGCTAAACTGCTACTTAATAACCGCGGTCAACCCTGGTAATAACATTAGCCTTGTGCTCGTTATTAACGTGTAACAAAGGCTCAATCAGACCGTCGACGTGGGAGATTTTGAGCAAGTTTGTTTGTTGTGTGTCCCCCGTCGCCGCCGCCTTAACTTCACGTTATTTCCTAAATGTTTTTCCCCCCTCTTATTGCCCTGGATTTTTTAGCGGTCACAGCTAACTTATATGTGTAGCCAGAGGAGAGCAGACACCGCTGCAGCGCTGTCACATCACAAGAGAGTAAACGCCTGCTTGGTCCTTATCTTGCATAGTGTAGAGGGGTGTGTTAGGCACTGTTAGTTGGTGTAACAGTGGTATCACAGGTAGCATTACTTCCTCTCCTTGCTAAGTGAACAACGTCGTCTGTGGAAGGCGGTGCTGGATCCCTCTGGCTTGTGTTTTGCTGCAACAATTGCACTGAAAATGAGAGTTATAAAGTGAAGTAGCGCTGACATGTACCAGCAGCAAAGGCTCAACAGGAAATACAGTTATATTTACTGTTACAATTCCCAAATATTTATGATTGAGACTTGAGTGAAGGTGGTTGTTGTGAGTAGAGAGTCTCCTGGTGTTATTGTAGGGGGGCTGCTGAGTGAAGTTGAACAAGGCCTCAGCTACAACTGGTTTATAATGACACAGTGCACCTTTCAGGCTGCAACATGACTATGCTGCACCCCCCCCATTTACCGCCCTGCCCTAAATATCCAGCCAGTCTAGTTGTCAGTGGCACGTTTTGTGTTTGTTTTTTTGGCATTCATTTTCACACAGCATGTTAACCGCTGTATCAGCAAAAACTTTGGAGCACTGCTGAAGCGTTTGACTCAGACAACAAAGCAAAATGACAAGATAAAGCTACTTTTTTTTAAAACATATTTTTGCTAATACATTCGTTTCAAGCAGTGTAGTGCAAAATCTATACATAACATGATCACTGTCGTTCTGTCATAAAGGTCCGGTGTGTGACATTTAGAAGGATCTGTAAGCAGGAAAGGAATTTAACATTAAAGTATGTTTTCATTAGTGTACACATCTATAAGATAAGAATCTTTATGTATTTGTTGGAAGTTAGAATGAGCCTCTTTTATCTAAAGAGGGGGCGGGTCCTCTTCCACGAAGGCCACCATGTTTCTGCAGTAGCCCATAACGGACAAACCAAACACTGACTGTAGACAGGGTGTTTCGTGTGTTTCACTGGTTTTGCAGCCTTCGTCTTACACCCTTGGAAAGCTGAGCTGTATTCAAACGGTTGCAATCTGCAACTTAGCCTGTAGATGCCACTAAATCCTACACCTTCCTGCAAAATTTTCCCAGCTTGGGATCAACGAAGTATATCTATTTATCTATCTAAATAACAAGGATTTTTGCATGGAGAATTGTAAAAAAAATACTACAGTCGACAATAATCCTGCTTATAGGTTGTACATTGGCTGTGTTAATGCTTTACATAACATAAATCGATGTGTAAAATATGCAAAGAAGGTTTTGTGTGAGCAATGTTAGGTGGTTCGTCGGGGTTATGTTAGGGAGTGTGTAGGGAAACCCTAAGTACGATCGCGCATCTTAATGAAAGGTTTTTTGAGCAGCATGGGCATTTCCCTCCTGTAAGCTGAAGAGGTTCCTCTTGTCTCGCAGCAGGGCATCATCTGGTTGGACTCCTCTGTCAGTCTATTAATAAACACTGAAATCAAACTTGGCCTCGGCAGGGTGAGCTTGACAAGGGTGTTATGTAACCTGAACCTGTGACCTCAAATTTGAAGCCAGCGTTGTTGTTTGGAAATGACACGGTATACACTCGACACAGAATGCCTGACAGTCGCAGCATTTCATATTTCGCGTGTAACGGGAGAAGCAGCGGAAAAGATTCAATCAGCCATTTTATTGCTCTGTAGCCTATTTCCAGAGTGTGAGACAGAAGGAATGTGTTCACTACAATGGACATGCATGTCTAAGAGCGTGCTATGCTCAGTCAGCTGCACTGGGACACTGATTTAGACAGACATGAGGAGTCACTGACAGTGCTCTGAATTCACTGAAGATCTTTTATGCAAGATAATGACCTTTTGCTGACTAATGTAGCAAGTTCACTTGCAGATTATCTTATACCGCTGAGACAGAGTTGAGAAGAGTAAGTCAGTTTTTTTTTTTCTTTTACACAAAACTGTTGTCATTCGGTCTTTGTTTACATGAGGGAAAGTTGATTACGCTTGTGTTATGTCTGTAATATTTGCACATTTTGACAAGTTAACAAATTCACCATTGCAAGTGCAACCAGTCTACTGCTGTTGTGCTCTGTGTTCATTAAACCGCCACGCAGATTTTCTTGTTTTAAATCGCTGATCCTCCAAGTTGGAGCCCACTTCTCCAACCTTTTAGACTTCATTCTTCATTCTTATAAGTTGAGCACCAGTTACAGAACTGGTATAGAGGACTGTGAGGTGATGTATTGTCCCTTCCGATGTCCATGCGAGAGCCACAGCTTTTGGCAACTACGGTGAAAAACAGCTGGTCAGTTTCAAATGTATTTACAATTTGGCTGTATCAACAGTATCAAATAGATACTGAGAATGCCTTCACTTATTTTGACGGGAGGCGGGTCATTTTATCGCTGAAATGTTAGCTCGTCAACTTGCTGGCTGATTAAGCATCTTTTTACCTTTTTTACCATTTAGGAAGAAACAGCTGCACTATAGAGAAGGGCCAGGATCAAAGGAGATCTAAAGATTAGTGAAATTGTTTTTAAATCAACCAGAGCCTTTTCTTTACTGCAGTCCACAACTTGTACCTATTAATATCTTTAATGTCTTGGTTTTCGTACTTAGTATTCTACTTGTATTAGTAAATGGCTTGTACTGTAGGTCATGCTAATTGTTCAGTGAGTCGTCTCCAGTAACGTGCTAACAATCATGGTAGGTGGGAGATTTATAATGCAACTGCAAACAGCAATTGCTGTAGCAAACAGTCAGTGCAGTGAATATAAAAGGGAATTTTCCTGTGTTCCAGATAAGCCTCAGTGGAAAAATACCTCATGTGGAAAATATTCTGTTTTGTTTTTTTTGTAAGGTCTAGCTTAATTAATATTGTGAAAATATAGTTTCATGCATAATTTCTGAGAAGGAATGCACCTTAAGGGAATACATGTACTTTACTGGTCTCCTGTACCATGATGTTTATTTCTTTTACTTTGGTATTTTATCATTAAAGCCACATTTGTTTTGTTATATGAAACGAGTGGTTTATCTGATTCTCTTGTAATATGTTATTTCTGCTCTGACTTCAGCCAACCTGACGGGCCATGTAGAGAGGGTGGGCATTGAAAACTTTGAGCTATTAAAGGTGCTGGGCACAGGAGGTGAGTAAAACCTAATAACGTTATTCTCCGTGTGTTGAACAGAACCTGACATTTAAATGATGGTTTGCATGCCAGTCTGGAATCCGATATATTGTGTTTTTGCAATGATAAGCATGCCATACCGGTTATTTCTGTTTAAGCCTTTGCCCTGCACTGAACTTTGCTCTCTTCCTTTGTTTATTTTAACCACCAGCATACGGCAAGGTGTTCCTGGTGAGGAAAGTGAGTGGTCATGATGCGGGAAAGCTGTATGCCATGAAGGTTCTGAAAAAGGCCACTATTGTACAAAAGGCAAAGACTGCTGAACACACACGGACGGAGCGGCAAGTGCTGGAGCACATCCGCCAGTCTCCATTCCTCGTAACACTTCACTACGCTTTCCAGACGGATACCAAGCTGCACCTCATCCTCGGTTAGGATATTTAATATGAAACATATGTTTATACAAGCAAAAGAAAAGGTTAATCATTGTCTTTAACCCAGGGAAAGATTTTTGAATTAGAAACTTAAAAGAAATATTTTCCCTTCCCTGTAGAAAAACCAACCAGCTTATATTATTTTGGATGAAACGTGACATGCATGATATCTTCCATTATAGATTATGTAAATGGTGGGGAGCTCTTCACACATTTGGTGCAAAGGGTGCGATTTAAGGAGCAAGAAGTAGCCTTGTACAGTGGAGAGATTGTGTTGGCACTAGAACATCTACACAAGGTAACCACCAGATTCAACATAATCAAGGCCTCTTGTCTGTTCAGAAGTCAGCTATTGCTGCTTACATGCTGTATGTTTTACTTGCCACTTGTCGTTTACTTGTCGCAGCTTGGGATCGTCTACCGGGACCTGAAACTTGAGAATATTCTACTGGATTCAAGTGGTCATATAGTTCTCACAGACTTTGGCCTCAGTAAAGAATTTGATCAGGTACAGTATGTCTCAACAATATGTGTTACAACCTCTCAGTCCTCCTCAGAAAGGAGTGCAAAAGATGATGGAAGCCTTGAAATTAGGCTTCCATCGGCTCTTACACTCATTTCTGTAACTGACCTATCTTTCTGTTCTCATAATAGATTTTGAAAGAACCAAAAAAGGCATTTTGCCTTTTCCTTAAAGGCCCTCAAAAATGATTTTCTCTTTAGCTTTTTCTGTTTGAGCAAAGGGGTCCTACTTGAACACACAATTTTCTCCCAAAGTAAGAACAGTATTGGTTCTTTCACGTGAGAGAAATCATCCTATGAGCTCTTGGTTTGAAGGATAGCAGGCCTATTTGAGAAAAAGGAGACTGTTACCTCCATACAGATCATCAGGTGTGGTGCTTTTTGCTTATGTTGCCAGGCCACTGTCAGTCAGATCTGAACAAACCACACCCACACAGTCTCAGTTAAACTCAGTTAAAGCAGTTAACTCTTAAAAATGAATAATGCCTAGAGATCGGTGTCCTTTTGCTTTTAATGAGACTAACAAAATGGGGACCCGCTCGAAGAAACTGCTAACAGATAGGGCTAACAGAGGTTAAAAGGACCACAGAACCTTTAAATATTACAGAGAAACGTTTAAGATTCCTCAGGTGCTTTAATCATTCTCTTTCAGTCCTGGCCACTCCCAGGCATTTTAAAACACAGAGAAGACTAAGATCTCTGTATTTTGTGTTGTATTTGTAATTTTAAAATGTGTCAATTGATGATTTTGTGTATTTTATAAAACAGATGGAAAGGGCATTTTCTGTCTGTGGCACCATTGAATATATGGCTCCAGAAATTGTGGAAGGCGGAGAGTCTGGACATGACAAGGTAATTTATAGTTTTATCTTTTATGCTGTCTCCTGTTCGATCAAATCAATCAAGCCCAGACTCTCCTCCCTGTATTTCTGAATGTGTGCTCTCTACTGAGATTTTTCTTTTAGTCTGTTAAGCCAAAGTCATGGGTGGGTGCTTTCATGCATTCCAGGCAGTGGACTGGTGGAGCCTTGGCGTGCTGATGTACGAGCTTCTGACTGGCGGATCACCCTTCACCGTTGATGGAGATGAGAACTCACACACAGACATTGCCAAGTATGGATTTCTCCCTGATCGTCAGCCACAGTTTTTCAGCTATCCTTCAGTTATAATCTCTCTACAACACTGACCATATCTGTCTTACACATCACAGGAGGATTTCAAAAAAGGACCCCCCTTTCCCCAAAGACATGGGACCACTGGCCAAAGACCTCATCCAGCGACTCCTCATCAAAGATCCAAAGAAGAGATTGGGTTCGGGTCCTAATGGAGCAGAGAATGTAAAAAAACAGCCGTTTTACCAGGTGGATCTCATTGCCTGTCTCGACTATTTCACAATATTTAGAAAAACTAAATAGCAGGGTGGGCTGTTACTACATAATGGGGCTGCTTTGAGTGAATAGCATTTAGGAAAACTGAGTGTCTGTATAAGCTGTGTTAATAAGGATGGGGATTAACCAAAATGTTTGTCTTTTTTTTCTTCTTTTTTTTTTAAACTCACTTTAGAAAATTAACTGGGAGGACCTGGCAGCTAAGAAGGTTCCTGCCCCGTTCAAGCCAGTGATTCGGGATGAGCTGGATGTCAGCAACTTTGCCGAAGAGTTCACAGAGATGGACCCCACCTACTCTCCTGCAGCTCTTCCTCAGAACTGTGACCGCATCTTCCAGGTGGGAGGGTGTTAAGGGATGTTAGACAATCAGACTATTTTTTTGTTGTTGTTTACAGACAGGAACATTTCTTTGTGCGTCTTGCAGGTCATTGTGCAGGACAACATTTATATTTGCATCTACTTTGTGCTGATGTTTGTCAGGGCTTTAGTTGCAGGCAGTGTGAAATGTTGACACGGATGAAAAATCGCATTATACATTATCCGTTTTTTGTCTGTGACTATATTTGACATACTCCACAGCAATTGAAGTAATCAAGTGAAGTTTTGAATGTCCTCAAAAGGTTGCTGTAAGTCAACATGAGTCTGTCTGTGTGCACTGGTATTTAAATTGACTAAAGGGTCTTTTATTGAAGTAATTGCTGCCATATGCAGCTCTTATTGAAGTAACAGATGTGAATGACTATTTTTGATGTAGCTTTGAACCATAATATGGCCCACAACTCCGTGCCAGCTGATGGCTGTCTGATGTATTGCATGAAATTTCAACTCTGATTGCCTTCTGGATCCTTGAGCTTGGTAGATCAATAGATCCATTAACGGGCTTCTCTCATGGAATAAAAGGTTACACTTTGAGAGCATCACCACGTCTGTCTCGGTTACGCCTTCAGTCTTTGATTGCCAACTTCATCTTGGCTTTTTTCGCTCTCAGCTGCCATTCACATAGTCTGAAATTTTGTGGTCTTTATAATTTGCAAGCCTAGCAATCTCTGAGATAACGACAGCAATCCCAATTTTAAACCGTGCACTTGCTCCCCTACCGTGCCTCACAAAACAAAATTAAAATTGCATTAAGTGTGCCAAGATGTAATTTCACAGCAGAGCAATCAAATATTCAAGCCCGGCAATTTAGGGCATCTCATTCATTCAACATCCATCCTTCCGTCCATCCATGGCTGTCACTACATACCACACAGCTGTGTGTGTGTCGGTGAAAAAGGGAAAGAGAGATTAATGCCAGCTCAAAGCTTTGGGCTCCCCACAGCTGGAATTAAGCAGGCAGCGCTTCACAATGACAGGTCTAACAATAGGAACAGCTGGACAGCCACTGTCACTCACGAATGAACAGAATTGAGTTTATTGTGGAGCTGACAGGCTGGTGTGGCATTTGAAGAAAATGCACAACAATTTCAAGTTTTATAGTTAATATCGAAACATATAAAATACAGTAAGTGTCTATATATTTATGTAATATATAAAATAAAGTTTAATGCTGCAGTCTTTTGAACTGCAGGAATAGATGTTTCCTCTCCCTCTATTCATATAGTCCAACCCTGGCTTTATGTCTTTGTAAAATGTAAACACTTAAGAGTTGATGTGTTTCTGTGCGCAGGGCTACTCTTTCATGGCCCCCTCCATCCTGTTTAAGAGGAATGTGGTGATGGACGACCCTGTCCAGCTGTGTGGGGGCTCTGAGAGGCCAGGCTCTGCTGCCGTGGCCCGCAGCGCCATGATGAAGGTAAGATGAATGGACTTGGATCCCCCTGTACAAACACACTTAAGCTAATGGCTGCTGTCACAGACAGATGAGACTTTTCCCTCCTTTTCATTCCACTAGAACTTTTTTCTACTGTACTTGTTTAACTGCAGTCAGATTCAGTTTCCAGACATGATCCTGTTTATTTGATGCTGTTTGTTCATGGATGCACTTGTGTATTTGTGCAACAAAATGCCTTTTAAGAAGGTAGCAGTGCAGTGCTTTTTGTGGCTCATCGGGTTTCAAGTTTTCTCATCAACATCCTGGATACATGCTGGTGTAGAGATTATGTGTTGATTTAAGTGATATGAAATTGAGCAGTTTCATATGACTTTTTTTTTCATATGAATTGAGATAATTTTTCTATTTTTGTTTTATTGGTATTTGTTATATTGGTAGCAAATTATTTTCATTTTAGCAGTTTTTTATCAATAAACCAAATGCTGGAATATGGAATTGAATTTTTGAAGTAAAATTAGCATATGGCTTGCACGTAACCTTGGTCATAGCCTTGTTGTACCCTTTAGTGCTTTCACATTAGAAAGGGGAAGTTTCAGGCAGCAGTCAGGCAACTATGTGCTCAGAATTCTATTAAAGCCTCAGCTCACTGTGCTGTCACAAACTGGAAGCTAGTTAACATGTCTTGTCTTATCTTGTAGTCATCTTCAGTATGTTGTTTCAGATCTGGGGAATGTAGTTTTTTCACAGCTTGACTGCTTTGTACAAATGCAGCTTACATGTTGTATGAAAATGAATTTGACAAAATTTCACAATAAGAGAAGTTTACTGGGTTCCTTCCTCATACAGTTTTCATGGATTGCTGCAGGTCACAAGATCACAAAAGAGCAACAAGCTTTAATTTGATAATCACATAGAATAAGTAATATGTATAAAAAGCAAAGGCTGCAGTCAAGGGACTTGGGGAAAGGGTGAAAAGTGGGACATGGGGTTTGAGATGGGTTGTTGCCAGTGGTAATGGAAAATGCTGTATATACATGACCTCTAGATTATAATTAAATTTAAGAATACATAAAAGACTGCTTAATCCTCTTCTACGTGAATTGTGTCTGTGGGGAGAACGAGACATAACATGGAATGTAAAGAAAAGTGTACCAAGGACATGACTGTGAAATGTAAGCCAAGTAGCAGTAGTTACAGCATTCTCTATGGAAGAGATAAAAGGAGCCGTAGAGCTGAGATAAATATCACAGTGAAGAATTTAGTGTAATGTATTTTCATATACAAAATAATTGTATGACGATTGTATTGAAGTCATAACAACAATGAGGTCATTCTTTAATTGAGGTCACTTGCAATCATTGGACATTTTGGTGATGTCTCTCAGTTAAATTTTATATTTGACCAAACAGCTTGTTTTGGCTCACAATTCCTCCCCTGCAGGACTCACCTTTCTATATGAGTTATGAGATGGACCTGAGGGACAGTGTTCTGGGAGAGGGAAGCTTCTCCATCTGCAGACGCTGCACACACAAGAAGACTGGACAGAAATATGCAGTCAAGATTGTCAGCAAGAGGTAAAAGCCCCCAGCCTGTTAGCTCAGATGTGTTTGTCAACCCAGTTGCCTTTGGCGGTGTGATATTTATAGTTTGACTGGATAACTGTTCTCCCTGGCAGAAACTAGACTGTTGTCAACCAACTCTAAATACAGTCTTGAATTTTTCTAAATTAAGTTACACTTGGATTAATTGATGAATACAAAATAATGTCATAATTTGACTTGATTACGTAATATCTCAGATTTGATTTGGCCCATTACTCTGTTTAAGGTTAACAGATGTAGGTTAAATTAATGTAAATACATCTCTCCTCACCAGCCTTCTTGTTTTTGCTGGCAACTGCTACAAAATAAGCTTTGTGTGTTGACTGCAGTCCTACACTACACTCCTAAACTGACAGTGTAGCACCACATTTTATGGCTCTAATAAAAGTAAGCCTTACTGGGATTTCTAATACAAGCTCACCCTGATACAGCACATGTTTCTGCAGCATGTTCAGAAAGTAAATCACACTGCTCACAGCACCACATTGTGTTATAATTGTGCATTAGTTGGAATTTGCCCATATCAGGTTAAAGAAATCTTAAAGAAAGAGTTGCAGAGCAGAACAGCACTTAAAATCTGACAGAAATGCCTCCTAATATAACAGTGAGAGAACTTCTGAGAACTGAACCTTGTGGGCTACCAAATGTGCTTTGTGCCAATTTAACTAAGCAGGGGAATATGCCAACCTCACAGTAGCCACAAAATGATGCTGTACAAATGTCATGCAAATAGTTGAGGTAATGGGTAATAGATACACTGACTCAGGATATTCTGTCTTCTTTCTAAAGCCTGGTTTTGCTTCTCTTGGTACTTTATACAGTTTGTTTATTGTCTAATATGTAATGCGTAATAAGTTATTTGGTGGAAGTTTTACAAGCACGCAGCAGGTAAATCAGTTTAATTTCAGATAGGCGACGTCATTAACAAGCCTCCTCTGCTCGTGGTTCAGTTGCTGTTGTGAAAACGTAATTGTGGGTGAAAAAAATCCAGAATGTGCCAAGAATAAGCTGCGTTTTAAATTGTGTTATGTTGAACATGTTGGCTGCCATTAAATACACAGGTGTCAATTCATAATTTAATATTTAATTTGAATAATTGTAATTCATTTCTCACTCTACTGTGTATGTGTGTATTTATGTTGTATTTTGTGACAGTTATCTGGCTTCCTGCTTGTGTTTGCTGTAGGATGGAGGCACAGACTCAGCGGGAAATAGCTGCCCTGAAGCTCTGCGATGGCCACCCTAACATTGTCAAGTTACATGAAATTTACCACGACCAGGTAAGGTTTATTGCGGCGGCTACGTTGGCCACCATAAATTCTGTTTTGCATGGCTCTCTGTGGAGCCTGTAGGGACTGCAGCCTTATTAAGTCCTGGAACTGGAACAAGGCAGATTAATGGGGAAGCTTGAAGCCCTCGAGGTCTGTCTCTGTCTCTTCATGTATTGTCCCATAAACATCTCTCTGTGTGCTCGATATTTCACACCAAACGTATTTTTAACTGCAGCTGTACAAACATCCATTGAGCACCACTGAATAGAAACAACCTAGATTTACTTGTGTTGCTAATCGAGCTGCACACTCAAACCAAACTAAGTGTGCATGCGTTCCAACTGAAGCTTACCTCGGTTATTGGGAAGGTGTGTCCGTGTGGCTGACTGTGTACAGGTTCATTAGCCCCGGTCCTTCAAGCCTAGGAGCACCACTCTAGACCTGATGAGCTCAGTGGGGTTATTACTGTACCTCAGAGGCCTGTGACCCAGATCAAAGCAGCGCTGCCTCGCCTCGCCTCAACCGAGTCCTGCCTTTGTTCCACAGACCCAGCACTAATGAGAAACTCTACCCTGCTGCCCAGACACATTATTCCCTTCCCACTTTGTTTGGACCCTTTCACTTTTCCTCAGTACCATTATAGTTTGATCTTACCATAATGGGATCAAGGATGGGCTGTTTTTGCTATATGTATTATGCAACAAAAAAAAATCCCTGTCCTCCATTTCACACATTAACATTCTGCTGTGTTAAACTGGTAGTCCAAGCTGTAAAAAGCAAGATTTATTATACATCAGAAAACTTTTCATTCAATATTTGTTTAATTGCAAAACCTAGGAATGTTTGCACCTACTGTACTATTTCAGAGCGTGCCACAGAATTAAGGTTAGAAATGCGTGCAGGTTGGTGAGAAGTGTAAATATATTCTGTGTGTGTGTTTGCTGCAGCTCCACACATATCTGGTCCTGGAGCTGCTCGGTGGAGGGGAGCTGCTGGAGAGGATCCGTAGAAAGCAACATTTCAGTGAAACAGAGGCCAGCCGCATCATGCGAAAACTGGTGTCAGCCGTCAGTCATATGCACGACGTAGGAGTGGTGCACAGGGACCTTAAACCGGAGGTATTGGACATAGACTTCTCTCTGAACAGAGTTTGTGCCTTTATGATGAATACAGACACACTGGATCATACACTTTTAAAACAGAATTACTGTGTTTTTCTGAACTTTGTATGATCTGTGGTATCGTCATTCTGACTCTGCAATCTTTTACACAACAGGAGTAAAATTGTTTGACCCTAACATGGGTCAAAAGTACCTGGTCAGACAAGTCTTGATGTCCAATTTAGTAAGCTCTTGAGTGGACCAGTTGAAAGAAATGATTGCTGTCCGTGTCTTGAATTGCTTTGTAGAACCTGCTCTTCACAGACGAGAGTGAGAACTCCGAGATAAAAATCATAGACTTTGGCTTTGCTCGCCTCAAACCACCAGACAATCAGCTCCTGAAGACTCCCTGCTTCACGTTGCAGTACGCAGCACCAGAGATACTCAAATATGACGGCTACGATGAGTCCTGTGACCTGTGGAGTCTGGGGGTCATTCTGGTAAGTGTGTGTGGGACGGCAGAGCCATGCTCAGGTTAAAACAAAATACTGGTAGTTAAACTGATAGAAAATCATTCATTATATGACTTAACATTATCCTCTGGAGAAAGAGACATCAGCAGCCCATTATTTCACTATTTTATTTTACAGCAATTTGAACAGCAATTGTAAATATAACAAGAAAGAAAACAGGTTCACGTTCAAACCTTGTTTTTATTTATTAGAATTATGCCCCACGTCAAGATCAAGCTTTCAGTTTAATGATTAATTCTGCTCAGTCAGGAATAGGACTAAATAACAGATCATTGATTGCCCCTATTCAGGAGCATCATTTTTTCTGATGGTACAGTCACATAACAAATACATCCCTTACATTCCACAATGCAACAGGAAAGTGACCTGATTATAAAATGTATATATATATTTATTATGAAACTCTTTTCAAAATCCACAGCTCCAAGCTCCCCTTTAAAGTAGTTTTTCGTAATAATGTTAACTGAAGCATTTCTAAAACTAAATTAATGTTTAATCATGAGCCCCGCACAGTGTTGATTTGTTGATGTTATCCAGTTTATGGATTCAACATTTGCTGCAGGCCATTTTGATTAAGCAATCAGCTGTTATTTAACTGATTTTGGCTGATTTTGTGGTTTAGGCTTTCAGCGATTGTGTATATGTAAGGGGGGTGTTTTGCGTGTCAATACTACATGTATGTATGCATGTGTGTGCATGTTCTGTTCTGTTTCTAATCTGTCTTTGCGTGATATTCAGCTCCCTCTCTTGTTCAGCACTACAACCCTCAGCATCCTGTGGTGAGCTGACACAGTTTAAGGCTCACCACAGAGTGAAGAGCAACCAGCCCGACTCTCAGAGCTGGTTAAGGCTGCGCTCATTTGAAACGGTGCTTCCCGGTAGCGGAAATGTCATCCTAATTCAACCTTTTTCTGTTTAGAGGAGGAAAATGAAAATGAGAGGTAGAGATGAGACGGAGAAGGCACACGGGTGGGGGGCAGAGAGTTGAGAGAAAGGTTTCTGTACTTGGCCAGTCATCCATACAGACTCTGTGCTTTCTGTGCAAGTGCTATTTCGCACTGTCGCCCCCTGGGGGGATATAGGAGTAGTGTGCCTTGTGGAGCTTTGATGAAATGGCTACTGACAAGCTGTGTGCACAATGCCCTGGAAGCAAATTGAGCCAACCCAGAGAGAGAGGGAGAGAGGGAGAGATGAGGGCACAACAGATCTTCCACTGCCAAAAGGGCTGTTCCCAAATACTGTCATTTTAATGAGGAATCCGAGGGCAGACGTAAGCAGGCCAAGGTGAGAGTATCCTGTTCATTCCCCTGAGCACAGACCACTCTTCAGTTTAGTGCTGGTTCAGCCATGGTCAACAACATTGCGGCATAACAATGGAAAAATGTGGACAGTCGTGATCGGTTAAGAGCTCCTCTAAAGCACGTTGTTATTTGAACAGCAGATATGTTTTAACACTAATGCTTCGTTACTTTCCCAGCTCATCGTAGGCAACGTGATTAACAAAAACAAGCATGTAGCATTTCCTGTGCCACGCTGACCATACAAGATGTTTAGATTAGAGTTATATATAGAAATATAGATGTTTTATATTCAACATTTAACCTAGTAACTGTATTCATGATGCTTTGACAGCAGTTTGTGTGTTTGTTTTTTGCAGTACACCATGCTGTCTGGCCAGGTGCCTTTTCAGTGTCAGGAGAAGAGCCTGACCCACACCAGTGCTGAGGAAATCATGAAGAAAATCAAACAGGGGGACTTCTCGTTTGAAGGCGAAGCCTGGAGAAATGTGTCCCAGCAAGCCAAGGACCTTATACAAGGTGAGGATGGGAACTGGTGGCTTGTAGTTAAATCCAGTGAAAACTATGCTAGAACTTTTATTTCACAAGATGAGCGATCAGATGTTATGTGTGGTTTGGAGTGAATTTTTTGTGACAAATTTAGAGAAAATGGTTTCACTATTGTGTGTTAAATTGGCAAAAATGCTGTAATTACCATTGTGTCATGCAATGCAAAACACACATGTTACAGGTGTAATCACACTAAAAAATAAGATAGTGTAAAATTGTGTAACTAAATATAAGCATTTTGCATTATTGTTGGAAATACAGGACTCTTTTACTCCAATTATATATTTATAATTTATATGTAAACTAATGCCACCCAAAGTAGCCCACAGTAACTTCCTGAAGTGGCTCACCTCCTCAATCATGTATTAAGAGTGCTAAAGGTAATTATCTCATTAATTATCTGTGTCTTGTTCGTGTAGAGCTGCTGACGGTGGACCCAAACAAGAGGATTAAGATGTGCGGCCTGCGTTACAATGCCTGGCTTCAGGATGACAGCCAGCTGTCCTCCAACCCACTCATGACCCCAGACATTCTTGGCTCCTCCACTGCCTCCGTCCACACCTACGTCAAAGCTACCTTTAATGTACGTAATGACACGCAGTACATGCTAATTTTAGATGTAGGTCAGGAATTCCCTCCATTCGGGCTTCCTGTAGTAAGATTTGGGTTGTATTAAACGATTGCTTTTCAAACTGCTAACCTGCTGCTCATGGACTGTACAGAAGTACTCTCAAGCCCATAGCAATTGACTTGAAAGCCAAAATATTGAAGTTAACAATATAAGTGTATAATTAGCTAAATTGTCCAGAGTACCATTGAAACAGAAAAATTATCTGTATTTTATGCATTTTTTTTTTTATCGGTAATAACACAAAATATTAGCAATGCAGGGATACACCAATCTGATATGCTAGATTGTTATTAGCGCTTATACTGACCCTGTTTAAGTTGATTGGGTATGCACCAGATGTGCCTGATCCACATAAAATGTAGTTCCTTTGTTAGTGTCATAAAAATGTTGTGTTTCCTCCTTCAGTTATATACATTCAGTCATGGCGGGTCAGCTACTGCTACAGCAGTCTGGTCTCGTGTTGCCTTACATAAACATAATAATAAGTAGCACACTTTAAATTTGGATAAAAGACAGCACCACTAGAGGTAGAGTAGAGTATTCAAAATCAGCAGAAAGCCTGAGTTGAGGAATGGGTATCAGGAGAGAAAGAGCTAGGTCACTGCATCCCTTTGAAAATAATTCAAAAGACTCACCAATCCCCTCTTTGTTTGTCCCAGGCATTTAACAAATGTAAGCGGGAAGGTTTCCGCCTGCAGACAGTGGACAAGGCACCACTAGCCAAGAGGAGGAAGATGAAAAAGACAAGTACCAGCACAGAGACTCGCAGCAGTTCCAGCGAGAGCACCCACTCTTCGTCCTCCTCCTCCCAGTCTCAGGAGAAGACTTTTCCAGGGGGCGACACCAACCCGCAGCCCTCTAACAGCACACCCGTAAACACACCTGTGGCACTGGGAACAGACTCTGAGCAACAACCAGCTCATCCAGCCTTTCACTTCTCAGAAGATCAGTGAAACAGCGAGACAACAAGGGAGATTCAGTTAGCTTCATGAACTGCAGGATGGCTTGGACCAGTGTAGAGACAGCTCTCTTCTCTTTCTCTCTGTCCCTGGCAGCTCTCTGCCTCTGGCTCAATTGCATGGACGTCCGCACGTCTCCAAAATCAAGCATGCAGCAGGAGCAGCAACCGTCACCTCAATATCAATCAACCAATCATCACTAGCAATAGCCTATCCCTTTTTTTGTTTGTTTCTCTCTCCCACTTTCACACACAGACTGTATCAATCAGGGACTGGACCAGGAAGAAGTTGTCACCAGTGTCCAACATGAAAAGGGCTGTCCTACTGCCCCAGGTCCAGACAGACAATGGAGAGACATCTTCAAACTCGTCACAGCTCCACCTGTCCGCTCTATTTACCTGTCTTTGTCCATGCCTCCAGAGGTTTTAAAGGGAAAGTCGTAGTGTTTACACCATGGATGCTTTGTATTTTTTGTCAAAGAGAGAGAAGGAATGCAACGTGCTGCAGCGTAATGTAACTTGGGTCCACTTCTCTTTTCTGGGAAGTCTCTGCAAGATGGAGCAGGGTATTTATATGTGAATTTTACAGACTGAAATGTATTTATGATAAGCTATATTGTTAACTTATTTATGGTTCAGACTGATCTGAAAAGAAATAATGGATACAGTGAGTCTTTTAAAAAAAAAAATTGTGTATGTGTGTATTTTTCCTTATCAGCTCAAAAGACTGTTTCAATGTTGTCTGATGGTTGTTCATACATCTTTGTACTCATCATAGACATCAATGCTTCAAGTAGGTTACTGAGACACATTTATGTAGATATTGTAACATTATAGGCTAGAAGAGATTAATACCATTAGCTATTGGTTAATGGTTGTTCAGATTTATGTAACCAAAGTCTTTTGGACTCATAACATTATTTATGGAGGCTTGTGGGATTGAAATGCAGCTTTGTCCAGTGGTCAAAAAAAAATCAATTTCCTTGTTCATAAGGATTAAAAAAAGCAAAAGTGTAAACATCTTTTTGTAGGAACAACCAAATGTAGATGTAGTATGTTCAGCCAAATCTGTGGTTTTATTGTTGTTTAGGGAGTACTGCTGCCTGAGGGGATGTGACCCCACAAGAAGAGCTATATTTAGACTTATTTTTGCCTCTGATGTGGGAGTATGACTACTTAAAGTCTCAGCATTACTGCTGTTCCACATTGTCTGATCCTCAAGTCGGTATATTTAGCCCAGCAGCGGATTTGCCTTGTGTGGTATATAACGTAATTGTCTCATTCTCACTCAACCAATTGGATTGAGCAGAATGCCCCAAATGGAAAATTCAGATCAGCTTAGTGCTGATCCGTCCAGAAGTTTGTGGTCAAGTTTTCCAAGATCCCAAATGCCAAAGGGCAGCTTCAAGTGGCTTCCTTTTTCAGATACAATTAAGTTTAAAATGGAAAGGGTTATGTGCCAAAAAAATGCAGTCAAATCAGGTAATGGACAGGTTTGAGTCCTTGAGTTAAGGGTTCTGAGACATTGACACTATTTTAATGCAATATAGTAAAACAAAGTTGCCCCTTGTGCCACTGCCCTAAGTCATCTACAACCTAAGCCTACTACAGCAAATTATTTAAAAACTTCAGTTCCAGAGGACAGAGCTGAAACAAACACTCTTTTTACGTTTGACACCATCCCTTGCTCTATTTACCATGTTGTACTGCATGACTGAAATGGTGATCTTTGCACTGTGTGACAGCTCTCACTTTGAGGCGGATAGCTGGTTAGTATTAAGTCCCCAGTGCATGATGTAAACACCACTTTTTCTTTGTTTTTATGGGCTTTTTTTTTGGGGGGGGGGGGCAGATTCTTACTTGATTTAATGTGAGTTTGTTTACTTGCACATTTGAATATCCCTGATTTAATTTGGGACTTGGGAGTTTTGCTGTTAGAGGTGTGATGGATGTAAACACCAAAACCCCTTTTACAGTAGCCTAATTACTGTAATGCTCCAATGTTACAATACTGTTGTTAGCCAGGGTAGTTAGGCAAGTAAAATGCCATGCTCTGTGAATTGTTTTTTGCAAGTATGTGTTAGTCTGTTTCCATGGTAATAGTTGAAATACTGTATTCTGTTAATATGTACAGGGGTATTTGTGTTCAGTATGTGAAGCTGCCTAGAAACAGTTTCTCCTGCTCAATCAAGATAGAAATTCTTAGTTGGACTACTGTGAGCGTTTAAATACACTCCCTCATCTTCTTCCATTTTAATGCACTCTGAATCTGAACCAAAGCATTAACTTCAAGGTAGCTGCTCTAAGCTGCATGAGATATTTCCTTTCATGCAAATATGCAAAGAAATGCTTCATATATCACGGTTTCTGTTTGTTTTGTCCAAACTGGTGAAATATGTTAGATGTTTCTAGTTCAGATAATTTTGTAACAGCGTACAGTGTTTTTCTTCAGAGATCCTTTTACAGGATCTATAATATTCATATCCAGCGCATTATCATGCTTTTAAACTATGCATCTCTTTTTGCTGTTGTGTTGCTTTTACCATTTCAAAAAGACTTAACCAAATGGGTCCAAATGTAATGCTTAAAAGGGCGTAATAGGATTTACATATACTGTACTTTAACTCTGATGGCATCAGCCACAGTAGAAATAGCAATGTAGGATCTATTGGTGTATGAAAAGCTGGAATCCTTGGAGCTAAACACTACAAAGCTCTTGTCTAACGTAGTTCGCATGAGTTCCCCGTTGCTGCCTCATTAAGCCTCTTTTCTTTTGTTTGGGTGTATTAATAGCTCAAGTGGAGGAAGAGGAAAAGTGTCCTATATTGAGCTCCCCTCTGGGAGCCAGGCTCTATTAGCTGATGTACTGCAGTGCTGTTTGTTCCAAAGAAAATACCATACTCTACTCACTGCCTCTGTGGGACCCAACTCACTTTTCTTTGTAGGGAAAAGAACTATCCCAGGAAAGGGTTGCTTTAGTACCAATGTCTCTTGGGGCGGATTTTGAAACTAGGTTCTCCCCCCCTTTGATGAACAACTTGTTCAGTGTGCCACTATGAGGGATAGAGAGAGAGAGAGAGAGGGAGGCCAGCTTTGATTTGATGTCCTGTTGTCTTTGATACATTTTTTTATAGGTTCCCTGGTATTTGAATGAAAGTTCCTTTTCTGCCTACAGTGCTTCCTCTTTTTTTGCTTCTCTCTGAATTAAGGTTGGAAACCTGACAACCTAAACCTTTGTACCTTTCTGCAACATTAATTAGAGGGCTTGGTACTGTTTGAACTGTTTAGTATAAACTGGAGTCTGCTGTCGTGAGTTTTAGAGTCAAGGGATTGGGATGTTCATGTGCGCTTCTGTACTTCTGTCAGTGGTGTCGTGCTGTATGAGCTTGTGCTTGAGACAGATGAGGGTGCCAAAGCTGAAAGTGACATTGAGCATCTGGCAGTGAAAGCACAGCTTCTCAGTCAGGTGCTTTTGTGCATACATTGTCTATGAATGTGATACTGTTTTGGAAAGATACCCTGGCTAGTGTGGCTCTTATTTGGCCAGCTTTAAGTAGGGATCATATGGAACTGTCCGCGGTGCTGAAGTGGCAAATACTCTGTTGGATTTCCAATAATGATATAATGTGATCTTTTAAAGCACTGATTCCCATCCAGGGTTACTTTTGCAGTTTTCAGAAGACTCCTAGATCATTTTAAGAACTAGAAATTGTGCAAAGAAAGAAAACAAACAAACAAATGTTATTACAAATCAGTATGAGGCTTTCACAGATTTTACACATCACCGTCTGTTTACCGGTCTTGGGGGTTGTACTACACATGTGAAAATAATATCTTTGGTGGCTCCAGAGGGAGCTGGTCAAAGTCTGATAAATTGCCTCAAGTGATGTCACTTAAGTCAGGGTCATTTGGGTCTAAAATCTGAAGGTGTGGAGTTAGAGAGTTTACCAGACCTCTGTAGCCCGCTCCTCATCTCTGCTCGAGGTTACATGAGCCACTACTAGCATAACACACCTGAATCTCCAACTGAACTGTTGGCAGTTAAGTTGCTTTGTGGGTAATGTAGGCGTCAAGTTTTGACAAGGAATAGGAATGTGTGGAATGAAAAAAGACAATATATACTATCTATACTATACTTTTTTAAAACTGTCCACCGTGAGTCTGACTGTTATAGGAGTGAAATTGAAATCGGTGGAGCACTCTTTTTATTGTTTATTGTTTATTTCCATTAAACTCCTAGTTATAATAAGCTACTTGACCAGACCCAAACAAGCAATAGCTTAAACATCAAAAATTTCAGGATGACTACATCTTGTATGAAAAAAAACAAACAATTGAAACAATATTCAGTTTTATATAATTAATAGTTTGAAATAAGCTGCAGATTTATATAAATGTATATATGACTGTATAAGGTTGGGAGACACTGCTTCAAATAGTCAGTTCAGAAGAAAGTAAATTCAGTGAGACCTGTTCACAGTATGTTGTGTGGATTATCCCAAATAACAGACATTGTTTCTAGTTCTAGGTCTAAATCTAGTTGTTTAATGCTGGCAGCATCACAAACAACCTCCATTATATTGAGGACCTTAATAGATTAGTATGTCACAACCTGGCCACAAAAACCAAAGCTCGAGAGCAGTTGTGTAAGAAAATCCTGTATGCTTTTTTTTATTATTATTTGCGTGAACTAACCCTTTAATGATCCACATTGGAGAAATTATTTTTCTCTTATAAAGGTCAGCTACAGAATAGCACTGTTGTTTTTGCTCAGACACTTCAGCAAGTTGGGCGGCTCGGACTCAAACGTGTGTTTTTGGAATTTATTAGGTTTACTCTACCCAGTATTGCTCTATTGTTGAGATTAATGCAACATGAAAAAGGCTTTAGTGTTTTATTTTATTGAGGGAAACAGTGATGCTTTTGCCCACACAAGTTGTAAGGCATGTTATCCAGTGCTCGTGCCAACCTGCCACTTTAAGCATCATCATCCTCACCATCATGCATGCGCCACTGCTTGATTCCTGTCAATATTTTCCAATTTCGAAATATCCTTGTCATATCGTTACTGCAGTGTGTCAAAAAAAGTACTGTAGCAGTGAATCCCTTTTGAGATTGGTCAATATTAAACTGTTTGAAAACACGCAATCAAGCTTTAAGGGAAAAACTTTGCACTTGTATGTTATTTTAATCATGCAATTGATTTTTTTGTAAAAGAAAAAAAATATGTCCTCTTTGACTTTGTGCAGGTTCAGATGTTTCACCTTATTCATCCGTCTGTTTCTGTTGATGGCTGTCAGACATTTCTAAGGAGATACTAAAAATATAAACCTCAACACCGGATAGTACTTGTACTGCAAGGATACACCATGTGCATACCTGCTTTTCTAGGGCACTGTGACATCATCATTCAGGTCTATAGGTACACCATTGATAGTTTGAGGAAAAAACCTTGATTTGCTTCAGTAAATGCTTTACTTGCTGGCTGAATACATCTGTACATTTAATAACCTGATACCAGTCATGAGTGTTTTAAGAGATCCTTGGCTTCATTGTATTTTCAAGTGTATTTACATCATTACTGAAGATATTTTGTGATACCAGGATTTGTGTGTATGAGTTGTCAGAAGGACAATAAATGTACGATTTCCTGTTCATTTTCTTTATCTTGATTAATAAATTAGGTACAAACCTTTTCATATTTAAAAAATAATGGTATTCTAATTTAACAGGCATGTTAGGAGACATGGAAGTGTTTATTTCAGAGGGCAGCCTCTAGATGGCAGTGTTTAATAAAGTACCACTCAGAGAACAGTTTACTGAGCAGCATGAACTCCTGTCAGCCTGTATGAGTTATTCATAGAAGAGTCAAATGTAAGATTGTGTTAAATATTCTTCAGAACTAAAATTTTTCATGTTGTTTAGCAGAACTAGAGATTAATTTCTATGTACCAGGTCGATTAAAGGCATATTTATAACCGAACTACGATTTGTGTCTTAAAAACTGAACTGAAAATACTGTAAATGTCCAAGTTATATTATTCTAATGCTCTGATTAAAATAGTCATATGCAGTTGACCTGAAAATTGTCCATTTGGGGAAGAGCTGAATGGTAATAAGTGAATTATTAAACATTTGTAAAGTAATGATAAATAAGCATTGCTTGTGTTTGCAGATTTTGCCTGTTTAGATTCATATCTGTGAAGAAATGTTCATTTTAGAAGTTAAGGGCTTCAGGGTCTACGAATCCTTTCAAAAAATATGGAACTGTTTGTCACATGTTACAATAAAACAATTCAATTCTCAGTTTATTCTGAAGATTACTTTCTCTATTAATGGACTGATCCATCAGAAAATCTACTACAAATACTAATTTTACAACCATAAAAAAACTAAGAAAACCAGCTGATATTCACATTTTAGAAGCTAAAACCTTCAAATCTTTGGCATTTTTGCTAAAGAAAATCATGAAAAGATGAACGTGACTATAAAACAGTGGCCAATTATTTTTCTGTCAATTCCTTAATTAACTAATTGTTGCAGCTCTCCATCTACAAGTTGTCTTCGCTGTTACTACCACATACTGACAGGAGAGGACGCTCTTTGGCTCTCAATTAGCTGCACTATTACTTCTCTTGTCAAATTCATTTGCTCTGTGGAAAAAGTTACATAGAAATAAGTGAAGCTGAGTTTTTGGTGACACACAAGAGGGAAACTCTTGAAGTTTTTTTAGGTAAGAAAAAAAATCTGATTATACTCTCAAACCCAACCATTAATTTGCTTTCAAAACCCTGACATTGTCACCAGAGGATCTGGATCTACAGATCCTCTGGTAAAAATGCTACAAAAGAAAATCCAGTTGATATTACTGCACAGTTTATTTAAAAAACAGTTTTTCTTTATGGTTTCAGCGTGCTCGGGTTTTGCTGCTACAGTCCCATGTGACATGTGGCTAATGTTAGCTAACATCTGCAAATTTTATGTTTCTGTGTAAGCTGTTAGATGGTCAGGCTGCTACAATACTACTGCACCAAAATCTTTTTAAAAGCAGATTTATATGCATGTCTTTCAGTCCACTTGTGGTTTCACCCCACTTGCTATATGCAACAGTACAGATGCACTTACAGAGCAATTTTGCCTGGCTAATTTTGCAATGCGGATGTCAATATGGATGCTCAGCTGGAGAAAGTCATTACACAGTGTGTCCTGTGTGTGTGTGTGTGTGTGTGTGTGTGTGTGTGTGTATGTGGATGATATCTCTTTTCTTTGAAATCTCTCTGCCCTAACATGCTATCCATTACTAAACAATGTGTTGTACTGTGGTCAAGTATTCAGATGGAGAGCCTGCACTCTAAAATCCATCATTGAGATTTTTAGAGGGAGACTATGGGCTAATTGGCTATATAAGAAAGACAAAAATACATCCAGAAATAGAAACATTTTAAAATCCTCTACAACAGACTCAAGGAAGCGTATAAGGTATGGTGAGTTGATTTTATTTTTGGTTATCTTTGTGCCAAAACACATAATATACTTTTTTTTTACTTACAAAAGCGTAATTGTGGCGGATGCAGTTTTGTAATTGTAAAGAAGAAGACACATTTTTTGAGTTTTCAAGCAATAGCCTAATAGCAAAGTCAAGACAATGTGAACCTTTGTTTGTTCTGCTATGAAGCATAATTCTGGCTGATTATGCAAACGCTTTATGTCACCTTCAAAGCAGTGTGTAACAACCTGAAACAATTTTACTCTTCTCGTTCATGTCAACATGTATTGTCAACCTTGTTTCCAAAAGACTCCCCTCTTCTGTCAGTACACTTCTTTGATATTAAAAATTCTCTTAGATTGATTTGGTGTTGTGTACTTGTCATTATGGGTCTCTGCAATTTTTCCATACAAATATAAATAAAATACACAAAATACCACAAATATAGGTAAGACATGCCTAAAAACTATAGTATATGCTGCAATCAGCTCGATACTACTACTGCACAGCATTTAAAACACAAAGCGGGTTTTTATGCATCTCTTTCAGTCCACTTGTTGTGGTTTCAACCCATTAGCTACTATATGCAATGATACAGAGGTGCACTTACAGAGCACTTTTACCTGGCTAATTTGCAATGCGGATGGCAATATGGATGCTCAGTCAGAGAAACTCAGTGTGTCCTATGTGTGTGTGTGTGTGTGTACATTATCTCTCTTCTTTAAAATCAGTAATCAATAATATAGGCTATATTATTGTTTAAGTGCCAAAGGTTTACAACTGAGATGTCAGATAACCTAAACATCAAAACACACAAAATACCATACACGATTACAAAGAAGTCCATTAATTAAAAATAAGTTATCTATACCTCCTCCCAGTGGGTATTTCCTCAGATGAGGGGAGCTGAGAGATGAATACAAAATGGGACAGGACATGATGGAGGACTTTGAGCTCTGACCTGGGTTTTGATGAGTGTGTGGTGGTGGTCTAGTTTAGCTCTACTTGACAGGACGGACTCCTGACACTCCACTAGTTCTGTGCAGATGATTTTTGGCCACGTCTCATCGTGGTTTTTGGCTCACTTGTTAAGATTAGGGTCTAAGTTTGTGGCAAGCCAGCAGGAGATGAATGTAACGCAGTACAATGTTCTCTCAAGTATGGCAAAACCAATGAGTGTGTGTGTTTGTGTGGGTCTGGCTGCCTGTGTGTTTCAGAGGGCGGGGTTTAGGCTGGACTGTAGAGGGGTGAAGTGCCTCCGATCCTTGGGAGTGGAACGCATTTCCTTTTGTTGCCCTCCAATTTTTGACTGGCTTGCCCCAGCACATGAGCATGATGGGGCTGTTTCTATTATCCAGCTTCCCAGACCCACCCCCCCCATCCTACCCTGTTCTGCCTGTTCCCAAAGCGATTGGCATT